ACCCCCTTACAATCCCCAACCCCCTTACACTCCCCCATGAAAGACATATTCTTGGACTTTGGTCTGGATCACACGACAACGAGGTTCCCTCATAAAGGAACGAACTACTATTATAGGACAACATTATTTGCGTCCGTTGTACGTGGATCAACTCTACGTGTCATTAATACAGGTAAAGTCAACTCACTGTATCTTTTGTCATATTATTTCAGTCTTTTTCTCTCAACTGCAAAGAGGACATTGAATTTGATTGTAAGATCTTGCATGCTCCCCTTTAGACGGCATGCGGTCAGTCTGCCGGGCTGTCAGATCTGCACGCAACGAGAACAAGTCTATTCAATTAAAGTAATATCGTAATAAAAAGATAAAAACAGTGAAGCAGCAGGCCTCTCGCTGTTACTTAATGAGATTAGATTTGCCTATATTGTGTAGCTTAAAAGCTAAAGCGTTAGATAGATGTTGTAAGTAATTTGATCATAGCTAGCTTTACATGYAAGCGTAAATTGTCAGCCATGTATACCACAAAGCTTAATTTAGTATAATTATTTTTAATAGCCCGCCAGGTCAAGAGTCAAAATGAACTTCCCTAAAGGTCAGTATTAGAGTGCATTTTATATATCCGTGAAACACTAGCTAAGGGACCATTCATTATTTATGCCAGGGAGGGGGCTGGCAAGAATTGGGAGGGGGTCACGATAAATTCAGAGGACTCAAGAGGGGGGTCAGCAGAAATATGGCAGCAAATTTGAGGGGTCATCTAGTTTTTGTTGTCAGCATAATATTAATAAAAAAGTTTAGTAAAAGGAAACAATCACTTTCTTTAGTAGAAATCTTAACTATATTAGCTTATACTAAGTACACATAAATACAATTTTTAATCAGTAGTAAATCATAAATCAATAGTATAAGCTCAGTCTTAAATACTTCTGACTGTTCGTATGCCGGCATAGAATGGTTAGAAATATAAAAATTGTTCATTGTATCTTGATTGCGACGGCCGAATATTTCGTCTAGATCGACGTGGAATAACGTCGATAACTTGCTGAAAGCCTTCCTCATCGTTGCTATTGCTTTCTATAGAGTCCTCACTACTTTGATATGCAATCACAAGGTYATCCTCATCACTGTCACTCTCTTCACTACTGCTTCTTGATGATTCAGCGTCTTTGGGATCTTYCTCAGGCAGAKTACCAGTGTGATTGTCTAGTCCTACTCSTCCGGCACTGCAGACGTGTGCTAAAACCCTTTGAACTTTATCGGGTTTTTTCCCTCTAAGTGAGAGATTAAAGTGCTTTAAATATTTTTCTAGCTCTTTGACTTTTAATTTTTGGATTGCCCCAGTCTTAACRAGAACGTCCCAATCATATTCCTCAAAATGCTTCTGCTCCCTCTTCTGACGCTGCTCTTTCCTGTCATTTTCTCGGATATTCTTTGTTCTTGCTAAARTAGCTAGATGAAGTAAATAATCCTCTACTAATTGCTTTTCCACAATATATTTGCTAGAAAACAGCGATATTGCTTCTTCGTCACCAAGTTTTAATGTGCCATCCTTGAATGCTGCTTTGATGTTGTGCCTAGGTTGCCAGTCATCTGGAGGGCRAGATTCATCATCATGATYGTTATTACCATAAGAGTCGAACACATCTTTGTAGTGAAACGTAGGTAATTTGGATGTGTCTGGCACTGGTCTAGGAATGCGACGCATTGTAGGACTAATCCATTCTCTTTCCTTGCATTCTTTACATGGTTCTCCATCRGAAGAAGTTTTTGAACAGTCACCTTTGAGAAACTCAAGGTAGAGTTCACCTTGCTGGTAATGTTTGTCGCGAAAATCAATTATTTTCTTAATGTACGCAGCRCCTGGTACTTCCTTTTTCTGCTCATTACTCTTTGAAGAATATTCTTTTAAAAAAGCTTGGTTGAAAAATAACCCCTCTTCTTCAAACAGGCAAAGAAAATTAAGCAGAACAAGAAAAAAGCAGAAAGAAGAAAGGCAAAGCGGCTAGAAAACTCCATATTATTTTTGAAGTCAAAACTTATTAAAGCGAATTCATTAGACAAGTTAGATGACTGCATCACAAAGGATATGCTGCAGATTGAACAATTAGAGACATTAAGAAGAGATAGACACCAAAAAGCATTAACTAAGTTACTTGAAAATTATAATTGGCATGCTGATGCAAGGAAGTGTGTTATGGTTAAGCTTACTGAGTGGGCTTTGATAGACAAAGAAAAAGAGTCAAAAGAAGAAGAGGAGGAAGAAGAGGAGGAAGAAGAAGATGAGCTTGAGGAAGACAAGGAGGAGCTTGAGGAAGAGGAGGATGAGCTTGAGGAAGAAGAAGGAGGAGCTTGAGGAAGAGGAGGAGGATCTTGGAGAAGAGAAAGGAGTTTTATTTGTTACTAAACCAATTCATTTCATTTGTTATTTAAAAGAACTGTTGATTGAGCTATTTAAATAGAAGAATGCTGATGAAAACTTGTACTGTAGTTAATATTTAATATTTAAGGGAAGGAGGGGGGCTATGTAGATTTCCAATAACCTCTGTAGGGGTCACGAGCTTTTTTCATTACACTATATTGGGGCTGGGAATTTTTTTTTTTATTATTTCAAAATATTGCCAGCCCCCTCCCTGGCATAAATAATGAATGGTCCCTAAACAGTACAAAATAGCAGCAATGAAAAAACAACAACCTTGTCCAGATTTTTAAGATTGGCTTTCTTTTAGCTGGGGAAAGGAAATTCTTTTTAGGTTGAGGGAGCCTGCTTGAAAAGTTGAAGCCTCAACTTGGTATATTTCCCTACACCCTCCCCCCTCAAAAAAAATTAACTGACTCTTTGGATCACAGGTGTAGAGGTGGTTGGAGAGATTAAACAAGAGTACCTGCAGATCCTCACATATGAAGCTTTGGAATTTCTTGCCGACCTTCACCGCCGCTTCAACTATGTCAGGAAACAAGTCCTCCAGAAGCGTATGGAGATCCAACAAGTCATCAATTCTGGGAAGAATATTTGCTACCCTGAGGAAAACCATGACAATAACTGGAAGGTTGCTTCAGTTCCGCATGATCTTCAAATGCGACATGTAGAAATCACTGGTCCAACTGACTGTAAAATGGTCATTAATGCTCTGAACAGTGGAGCTGATGTATTTATGGCAGACTTTGAAGATTCACTTTCACCAACATGGAAGAACATCATGGAAGGGCAGTTAAATTTACTTGCAGCAAACAAGAAGACAATTACTTTTGAGAACCCAGATGGTAAGTTAGCACCTTTTTGACCGAAAAAGTTCAGTACAGCATGTACCTGGCAAATCCTTTCATCATACCTATATACAATTTCAAGAGCGTTTCTATTTTTGAAAATAATGTGGTTTTCTACATTGAAAAATTATTAGCTCATTTCCAAACCCCAATGTGGAGAGTTAGGTCAAGCATTTGTCTTTTATACTTTTCAAGTTTAGACCTGAGTGTAAATTCACCCAACTCCATTCCCTGCCCATTGATACACACAGACAATCACAACTACCATGATGAGAGTCGAGGGGGAAAAGAGAGTAATAAAGACTGGACAAGTTTCAATATTTTTGTTCTGATTACCCACATAAAACAATAAATGAGATTGCTGACAATATGACTATTCGATTATTTTTTTAGGAACTTTTCGCAAGCTCAAAGACAAAACAGCAACCTTAGTTGTCAGGACCCGTGGTTGGCATCTAGAGGAACGTCACATTATCTGCGATGGAGAGCCAGTAGCTGGTGCTCTAGTGGACTTTGGGCTATACTTCTTCCATAATCTGGCAATCCGACTTGCTCAAGACACAGCACCATACTTCTATCTTCCTAAAATGGAAACACATCTGGAGACAAGATTGTGGAATGATGTGTTTAAGGCATCACAGGACTACTTAAGAGTACCTCAAGGTAAAAGTGGTTCAAATACTTCTAATGCTCTTTTTGGTCTAATAATTCTTGGATAATTTCTAATTGAAACTTTCCTCAACTAGCTAAGCTTGTAGTTTGTTAGCGAGGATTGAGGTTAGGTTTTAGGCTCACCTACATGAAGAAATATTTGAGTATTTACGTAGCCTTGTTTATTTTTATAGGCACAATTCGTGCTACAGTAATGATAGAAACCTTAATGGCTGCTGTGAACATGGAGGAAATGATGTATGAGATTCGGGAACACTGTTGCGGCCTTAATGCTGGCCGATGGGATTATATCTTTAGTATCATCAAGAGACTTCAGATGAAATCAGAAGCTGTATTACCCGACAGGAAACAGGTATTATTACAACAGATTCATTACAACTTTGACTAATTCAATTTTTATTTACATCTCCTTCATTCTTTAAAGTGCACATGAACCCTT